TCTGCTTTCTTCTCGGGGAATCTGGATTTGGGGAACCCCCCACCCCCAACCCCCCCCCCCCCGAAGCAGGAAGTCACAGAGCATGCTGGGCCAAATAGAGGTTGGCCCCAGAGAAAGAAGGGAGGGAGGAGAGAGAAAAAGAAAGAAGGAATAGAAGAGGGAGGGAGGAAAAAAGGAAGGAAGGAAAAGATGGACAGAAGGAAGGAATAGAAAAGGGAGGGAGGCAGGATGGAGCGCCTCCTGCCAACCTTTGGAGGAGCCAAGCAGAAAAAGAAGGGAACCGTTGTGGAGAGAGAGAGGGGAGGAGCAGTGCAGCCAGAGAGGAAGAAGGGGGGAGGGAAGGGGGAGGGGAGAGGAGTATACAGATCTAGAGATAAAAGGTAAAAGAAGATGAACTGAATAACAGCCCCATCCCCTCCTTCTTCTCGCTCCTTCCTTTTTTCTTCCTCCTTTCCCTCTTCCCTTCCTCCCTTCATTCCTTCCTTTTTATCTCTCCTTTTCTTTTTTCTTCCTAGCTTCCTTCCTTCTTTCCTCCCTCCCTCTTCCTTCTTTCTCCTCTCTTCTTTCTACCTTTCCTTTTCTCTTCCTCCCTCCCTTCTTTCCTTTTTTATCTCTCCCTTTCTTTCTTTCTTCCTAGCTTTCTTCCTTCTTTCCTCCCTGCCTCTCCCTTCCTTCCTTCCTTTTTCTCTTTTTTCTCTTTCCTTTTCCCTTCCTCCCTCCCTTCCTTTTTATCTCTCCTTTTCTTTTTTTCTTCCTAGCTTTCTTCCTTCTTCCCTCCCTCCCTATCCCTTCTTTCTCTTCTTTCTTCCTTTCCTTTTCTCTTCCTCCCTGCATTCTTTCCTTTTCATACCTCCTTTTCTTTTTTCTTCCTAGCTTCCTTCTTTCTTTTCACCTTTCCTTCTTCCCTCCCTCCCTCTCCCTTCCTTCTTTCTCCTCTTGTCTTTCTACTTTCTCTTCCTACCTCCCTCCCTTCCTTCTCTTGATGTGGTGTTTTTCTGACCAATCCAAAGGAACCCTCTCCCCATTTATTTTTAAAAAAAGAAGCTTTCTCCTTCAAAATGGGGAGGGGGTGCGCTGCAGAAGGAGGCCCACCAGCCTAGCCCCCACTTGTCCTGCAGGAGGGACCCTCTGAGGGGGTTGGCCCTCCTGGGGGAAGGTTCCAGATGTTTCTAGAAGATAACTTGGCCCCCTTGTTCCTCCAGACCTTCAGCTCAGGGTTTCGTGGCTGCTGGAGGAGAAGAAGGAATTGGCAGCTCAGGTGAAGGAGCTGCAGCACCAGGTATGGATTATGGATTATGGAGTCTTTCCTCCTCTTTCAGCCCTTTAAGATGGGGGGGGGGGACTGCAACTCCCAGAATTCCCCAGCCTGGTGGGGAAGGCGGCCATTTCCTTCTGGTTGAGGCAGCCTCGTTTTTAAATATATTTATATATAATTTCTTAACATTCTGTGGGTTTTCTAAGTGGGAAACTATGAAAAGAGGGTCATTTTTCTTTTTCTCTCTTCTTTCTTTCCTTCTTTCCTTCCTCTCCCACCTTTCTTTCTTTTCTTTCTTTCCTTCTTTCTTTTTTCTTCCTTTCCTTTTTTCTTTCCTTCCTTCCTTCCTTTCCCTCCCATCTTTCCTCTTTCTTTCTCTCTCTTCCTTCTTTCCTTCCTTTCCCTCCCACCTTTCTTTCTTTCTTTCTTACCTTTCCTTTCCCTCCACCTTTCCTTCTTTTCTTCCTTCCTTCTCTTTCTTTCCTTCCTTCCTCTCCCACCTTTCCTTCCTTCCTTCTTTCTTCTTTCTTTCCTTTCTTTCCTTTTTTCCCTTCCACCTTTTCTCCTTTCTTTCTTTCTTTCTTTCTTTCTTTCTTTCTTTTTCTTTCTTTCTTCTTTCTTTCCTTCTTTTCCCTCCCTTCTTTCCTCCTTTCTTTCTTTCTTTCTTTCTTTTTCTTTCTTTCNTATGAATGTTGTTGAATTTTTAATTTTGTTTTTATTTTTATATTCCCTCTTCCCTTTATTTGTAAGCCACCCTGAGTCTTCCGAGAGTGGGCGGCATACAAGTTAATTAATTAAATAAATAAATAAATTTGAGGCTCTCAGAAAGTGTGGGGGCTTTTTCCTCTGATTTTAGAACCTGTTTCACTGACAATAAAGAAGAGTTCTTGTTCCTTGCACAGAATGGGAGGGGGGGGAGAAACAAGTAAGGTTTCTCCCGTGCGTACCACACGTATCCCTAAAACAGCTTTCTGTTACTAGAATGAGGCCAGATGAAAAGCGGTTTTTGAAAGGAAGAAGAATCACAACTGTTTTGAAAGGAAGCAGCTGAAAGGAATTTACATGTTGTTTAAATTGCCTGAAATCAGCATTATTTGATGTGGTTCACAAACAAAAGGAAATGTATTTTAACTTCAGCTGGGAACCCAATGAGCTTAGCGGGTATCGAAGGAAACTTACCAAATGAAGGTATGAAGTTTATACATGTGCCTAGTTTACACATACACACACACAGAGATGAGGCTTACACATTAAAGGTTTTGAGTAGAGGTCTTTTGTTTTTTTAATGATTTCTGTATCAGCTTGGAGTAGTTGAACCAAAGAAAGATTTGCCGTGGTGAGAAGGGAAATTGATTTGGCCAAGAAGCCTTTGTGGGGTTTCTTAACAATAAATTCTTTGCAGCTAATTTTCAGCCGTCCCCAGAGCCTCTTCGTCTGTCCTCACAAAGTCAAGTCAACTGATGGATGTAGACAAGACACACACACACAAATAGCCCTCTTGCATAATTGCTCCAGAGAGAAGGGCTCATATTTTTAGCAATTTATTATTTCTGCGCTGTCTGCCTTTGGTGCAGCGATCAGGCTCTGCTGTTTCTGTTCATCGTACAGGTGTTTGATAAACACAACCGGCTGATTCTCTAAACATTGACATAAGCAGATGTTCAGTGTGCTTCCCCTCTGTTTAACAGAGTTGATTGATGGCACTCTGGAGGGTTTTTGTTCTTAGTTTTAGTACTTGTTCCTGCTTCTTGTCTATCAGGTATGTAGGTTCAAAGGATGGCTACCGGCAGAGAATCACGCAGTCGTATTCTATTCCGGCAGAAGTAGCAATCTGGGTGTTGAATCAGCAGATGGCCTTGCAGATTAAAGAATATTAAAAGAAGAAGAGGAGGGAGGAAGAGAAAGAAAGAGAAGGAGAGAGGGTAGGAAAGAGAAGAAAGAGGGTAGGAGTAGCGGAGATGTAAGGGAAGGAAGAAGGGGAAGGAGACGAGGAAGGAAGGAAGAAGAGAAGGAAGGGAGGGAGAAAGGAAAAAGAAAACAAGGTGGTGTCTTAGCAGGTGCGAAGGAGGGTAAACAAAGCATTC